TGTCTCCGGCATTGTTCCTCAGTGGACAGGTGCAAAAACACGGCTGGTACTGGGAACGGGTTCGCATTTTTATTGGGTTGGATCTTTAGACTTTAGCTTTCTGCTTGCAATCAAGGGTTTCGCCTGGAAGGGGTTTTATTGGTAGGGGAGTAGTCAATTATTGTCAGGCCGTGCAGACTCCAGGCCTTAAGGGGTTTGACTGCATGGACCCTGTGGAGGCAACTTTGGGGGCCCCCCCTTCCCTCCAACCGTCCGTACGTCCTTCCCTCTTGGTAAGAAACCCCCCACCCCCATTTTAATAACCAGGTTTGACGAACATTTGGGGTCAACATTCGTCAAAACCACAAAAGCCAACTCGATCCGAGCGCTTTGGCTGACTCCGAAGGCGACCTTGGAGGAGAACGAGGGCAAGGAGGGCGATGCCAAGAAAGAGCCTTGGGAGCTCATGCGCGAGGACCGACTGGACCGACCTCCCCCCGTCTTTCTTTGGAGCGCAGCTGCCCAGTTGTTGGGATCTGCGTGCCTCAAAATAGGAACCCTCAACATCTGTCGGGTTTTTCCTGTTTGAGAACACCATTTTGGAGCACCCGGCACAGATCGGCTGTGTCCAAAGATTCTGGCCCAAAAAGGTGGTTGCAAAAGTACAGACCCGTTTCATTGGCGGGTTTTCAGATCGATTCCGCCGGTTTTTGGGAGGTGCTTCCGGAGCGAGCGATGCGAGCCATGCGACGCTTGGGGATTTTCAGGCCTTATTTCAGGCGGACATCATGTTAGGTTTCATGTTAGGTCGGTCGCGGTTGGGGGTTAAAAATAGTGGGGTGTGGGGTGTGTGGGCTGGGGGGTGGGGGGGAAATCTGAAAATGGAGATTTGTTCCGATCCATTTGGGTCCGCAAGATTGGCCATATGCTCCGAGAGCTCTCATGGGATCTGCAAGGCAGGGAATCTAGCCGTTGCTTTGCCCTTAGATGGGTGGTTCGTCTTTCTTTGGTGTTGGCGCCTTTTTTTTTCGCGTGGTTTTGAAGGGAAACTAAAAGTTGAAAGCCGTTTTTTTTTTTTTGGGGGTATTGTTTTTGTTTTGGGGGGGTCCAAATCCTAAAAACGCGAGCCACCCATATGGCATTTTGGTGATTGCTAGCTACGGACTTCGGGTCACCCAAAAAAGCTGCGGGAAGTTCCGAGCTCGCCATGCCTCCGGTCTTTTCAGGAGCCCAACGCCGCGATTGTGAAGAAGACCATGGTGGACTACAACATCATGGTGGGCCAATTCCGCAGGCCCGCGCCGCAAGCAGTTTTTTTTTTTTTTTTTTTTTTTTTTTTTTTTTTTTTTTTTTTTTTTTTTTTTTTTTTTTTCGGCGGTCGTTTGCGTCAACAACCTTTGAGATTCAAGGCTAAAAAGGCAGGGAGCTGACAACCATCCGTCGATTGTTGTTGACCAGTATGATATGACGCTATAGTACTATTATAGAGCTGGCAGCACGCGGGCGATTGCTAGGAGGGCCTCATTCCTCACATATCGCATCCGCATCCTGGTCTGTTCTATTTGGCTCACGGGCCAATGACTCATGCCTCTCACGTGCAGACCGAGCGACCGACCGATGGATGTTCAAAATGAAAAATGAAGCCGGAGTCTTCTGCCCGATGTGAAAAGGAAATGAAGGAAAGTCTCATTTGGCAAAAAGGACGAGCCATTTGTTCGATTCGGCTGAAAGCTTTGGGGAGCGACCTGTTTTTTTTTGAGCATCGACCCGGGTCCATTGGCCGCTGGTTGCCTCAAACGTATGTTGGGACCTTCAAAAGGGTGAGTTTCCACACGTGTTTTCCTTTTCAAAACCAAGGACCAAATTAAAGAGCCAGGGCAAAATGCAGGGTTTGGGCTTTGGTTCCATTTACCTTTTGGTGCCATTTGGAGAACCATTTGATTGGCCACCCCAATTTTTCAAAAAGTCAAGCAGACGACCCAGCTCCTGGGTGCCGCCAAAAAAAATCCAGGAGCGGGGGGTGTTTTTTTTTGCCGGGCCCCCCCGAAAAGCGCCAGGCTGTTCTACGACGAGAAGAGCATCTTCGATAGCGTCGAGGGCAGTATCACCGAGATCAAGGCCGAAATGGCCGAGATGGGATTTCTTTTACGCGCTGAGTTCGTTCCAACAAGACGTGGGGGGGGGGGGAGGGGGGGGATTTTTTTAGGCTTGGTAGTTGGTTTGGGGCTTGCTGAAAGGGAAGCCAAAAGGAACTTGTTTTGGTTTTCCCCGGTTTTGGATCTTTCTAAGGGTACCGTTGTTGGAGCTGTTTCAGAAGCAGAAGACATGATAGCACCCATCCTACATTGGTGTGGAATCCCGATTTTTTTTTGGTGTCCATTTCAATGGCACAGAAACTGATGGGCCCATGAAGATTCCTGTTTTGTTTGGGAGGATGGATGGATGGATGAATGGATGGATGGAAGCGACCTGTTTTTTTTCCTGCTGCGTGTTCCCTGCTGAATCTGGGTCGCCCACAAATGGCACTGTCGTTTGGGGTCGATTCCACATGCCGTTGATTCCAGTGCCCGAATTGTGAATGGGCTGTTCAGAGCCGGCCCAGCAGCGTGTTTGTTTTGGTTCCTGGCAGGTGGCTGTTTTCAACAAACACGTGGCCATGGATACACCCATTATCAGTTTGAAGCATCTACGTGGCTGCTTTTCCTCCATCGATCTACCTGCCGCTACCAAAGGATCATGCCAAGCATGCATATACACACACACATGTGTGTTTGAGCCCCTACGAGCCCCGAAGCAGAACTAATTCAAGAGCTTCTGAATCTCACGAGCCGTTGTCAATCTGGATTGCCAGGCATTGTATTTTCTGGCAGCTGCCCTTCGAACATGTCTAAACATATTCCAGGATCTTCCGATTCTTGTCAGGGCTACTGCCGGAAGAAGCAGCGTTTGCGCCCTTGTTTCTAAAGGTCAAGCCCCTGTTCTTTCACTTCACTCATGGTTGTTTTCCATACCTGGAGCCCGTCTTGGTTGAGCTGGTGCCCCGAGTTTTTTTTGGCGTCGGTGAAAACCAAGGGGAAGCCGAAGGAACCAGCGGGGAGCAATCAGCCTTGTGAAACAAAGCGGTCCTGTTGGACCCAAGCAGACGGGTAAATCGTCCCTTGTGAGGAGTAAAATGGCTTCGGGTCTTTTCTTAGTTTCCCTTTTTTTAAAAGCACGGTAGAAAGGGTACCCTCAAAAGAAGACACACCCATTTGTTCGTAGTCGCATATTTTTTTGTCCCCCGCTTGAGGGACTTGGGCAAGGTTGTAACTTTTGTCACTTCCTGCAGTAGTTGGGTATGCCCGTTTTTGAGGGTACCCAGTTTGGATGGCGGTTGAAGCGAAGCCCAAGAGGAAGTCAATCATTTTTGGGGGTTCCCTAAAAAACACACCCACACACACACACACACCCATACATCCGCATATGAGGGATCTCCTTGAGGACCGGTTTTTTGGTCTGTCACTATTGGACCTCTTTGGCCTGTCGCGGTTCCCAGCTGGGCTAGGGGGGATCCCGAATCAGGCTGCGGGAGTTGTTGCAAAGATTTGCATGACGCGCCCCTGTTTCCCCCCCCCCCCCGAAGAGCCACAGATTCGTGGTGGTTCTCGCATTGCAAGGCGGAACATGTTCAAATCCACTTTTCGGAGCCAATTTTCAGATGAATCGGGATGGTTTTAGCGGGAAGCCATTTGATTTCATGGTTCCCCAAAGAAGCCTCACCTCACCCCCGTGTGATTTTGCCCCAAAAGCCATGGGTGTCCATTTTTCCCCAGCTGGAAGCTGGGTCGCCCAAGAGCAGCACCGGGCCCCATAGTGTGGGTGGACGAAATCCGTTCGCAGCACTTTGAAGCCATGGTTGAAGCCACTGATTGCTGGTGTTTACAGGGGAATCGACTCGGAAACCAGGGTTTGTGACGTGCAGGATTGTGCAACCATCTACAATGTTCAGTGTTTGTTTGATGAAAGGTCTGGTAAATATGGGCTGACCATTGGTTGGAAAACCACTGAAACCATGATCTCTCCCACTAAACCGGAGGTTCCGCTGCCTCCGGGGTCAACCAGTTGCTCCGGTCAACGCCAGGAGAACGCCCAGGCGGCGCTGCTGCTGCAGTGCGACCCCAACGAGGAGAGTTCTGACCGCGAGTTTCTGGGGGATCTGGGGGTCCTTCAACGGTTCGTCAGTTAAGGTATATGGAAGACACTAGGGGAATTGGGGGACCCTTGGACAAGTTTGAAAGGAAAACACTTTTCAAACTTGGGCCTGAAGACATAAAATCATTTGGACGAGATCGCAGAAACCTTGTCAGGATTCTCAAGGCAACTGGAGCAAAGGGGCCTGCGAGGGCTCCCCAATTTGACACACACCAAAAGGAAATTGAAAATCGGCCCATGATGAAAGGAAGCGACACCAAACTTATTTTCACAAATCTGCCTTGAAATCTGCAGTTACGCCTATATCCAACCACTTCACGTTTCCCAGCAACATACCCAGAAAAACCGGATGTTGGAGAGAAAGACCCAGAGATCACCAGATTCACCCGCTCATGTTGCAATTGATGGGTTCCCGTACTGCCACTGCTTAGGACTTAAACCCACAAAAGGTTGACTTTTATCTCCTGATCGGTAGCAGGTCATGGACCGTACAGAAACAAATGGGCGAGAGGCAGGGCTTCAAGCGCCCTCGCGTTGAAAAGCCAGGGAATCGAACCCCAAGAGCTACAGCATTGAAGGGCCGACAGAATGGGGAAGCCGGAGGCACAGACGACAATGACCGTTCCTACCGAAAGAACGGGCATATGGAGTGGGCCAAGGCTTGAGAAGGAGGCCCGAAGCGGGGAAATGAGTTCGAAAGCCCACAGCCTAGTCTAAAAAGACCGCGGGTTGGTGCTATGGATGTTGCGCCGCGCCCTGTTCGAGTTTGGCGTCGAGATGCCCACTTCCCCATAAGGTTTTGACCACCTGGACGTGTGCCAGTCCTGATGTGGCTCCTGTCGGGACCACCTGGTCGTGTGCGAGGCGGCGGCCTTTCAGTTCTGGTTTTCTCCCACTGGTCTCTACTCTTGGCAATGCCCCCGCGCCTGGGCGGGGGTCCTCACCACACCTGGCACCCTCTCTTGCTGGCCGCGACCTGCTCCCGCCGACTTCCGGGCACGTTGCTTTTCCTGACTGCAGCAATTGACGCTCACATGTACTCGGGCGTGCGATTCTCTCCCGTGGCTACGGTTTTGGAGGAAGTGGGCCAGTCTTGCTTGCGGCTTGTGGTTAGCACTTCCCTCCTTGGAAGGATACCACCAGGAGTCCTACCCCTTCCTCGCGACGGCTTGTTCCGTCGTAACCAGCTTTCTAAAGCTTGAATCTGAAGGACCCAACTTTGAAGTGCCCCCCCACTTTGGGGGCAATTTTTTGCTTCGCAGCTTGGACATAAGATATCTGGCCGGGGGACACTGGCGGCTATGGTTCGTTGTATTGAGGCAGTAAATCGCTGCACGACTTTTATGGATTCCTCTTTCTCGCGTTTCGTGGCACAAGGTGGTTTCCCGGCCGCTGGGGTGCCTTCTCAGCCGTGCCTTCTCAGGGCCACGTCACCTCCAGACCTCATCATCTCACGCACCCAAAGACCCCTCCGCTTGACCCACAAAGCATGACGGCCTCCAAGCCAAAATTCGGAACAAGCCACTCAGTTCACCAGATCCGTTTTGATGACAACGTCGCTGGCATCCTTTGGCGGTTCATTTCCCTTACACATTCGTAAGCTGGACGTGAATCAATCCACATCCGCATCGATGCAAGGCGCGGCCGTGCGCAGAATCCAATTGGCCAAGCCCTTTTGCTGCCAGGCAAGCCAACACGAAATGGAATCGCCAATATGGGTTAAATCTCTTTTTCTGGGAGTGACATCGGGTCAGCGTGGGTCAGCGTGGGTCAGCGTGGGTCAGCGTGGGTCAGTAAGATCTAGGGCCTGGGCAATGAGAATGAGATTGAGGGGTACACCAAATCTTGTCATGCTTGTAGGAAGATTGCGTGCGAAATTTCTCCGCCCGTTCTCTTTTCGGCCACAGTGAACAGAGCCCATCTCTGTTTGCAATAGGGGGAGGGGGCAGTGGCAGGGGTTGTTGCTTTTTTGTGGCCTGATTGTTTGCAGATTTTCGGATAGATCCAATCCGAAGAACTCCCCGTTTCGTTCATTTCGGTGGCAATCGCCTTGTAAAAAGTCCAGCTCTTGCACCTTTCCGGTAGCATTTCAATCTTGTAGTTATTTATTCGCGCCAACTCTCACCTTTCAACGAACCGGCGTGTTCGTATGGTGTTCCAATGATGTTTCGTGTTTCCTACCTTTTTCCACGGGTTTTGGAGTGGCTTTCCATGGTCTTCAATGGTCTTCCACGTGCTTTCCCGGGCATTTCTCGCGGGGTTTCAGGCGTTTTCCCGGCCGTTTTCGCGGCGTTTCCCATGGGTGTCAGGCGTTTTTTCCCGGGCGTTTCCGCGCTTTCGCAGGGTTTCCTACGAGTTTCAGGCGTTTTCCCGGGCGTTTTCCCGGGCGTTTTCCCGGGCGTTTCCCACGGGTTTCGGGCGTTTTCCCCTCGAGTCAACGTGAGGAGCTGGAGCAGAAGGTGATGAAGGCGACCGCCGACGAGGAGCGGACCGCGGCCATGGCGCGGAGGCCCAGACATCCCGCGGAGCGGCCCACCCGTGACGCGCGCTCCGCGAGTGACGTGTACTGGGCGTCTCTGGAAATGGGGCGCCTATTGAGAAACTGGTGGTTTAATTGGCACAGCGTTTGGTGGACATCGCTTAGGTGGTTTCTGTCCAACCATTTTTTTCAGGGGGTTCCCTATTCAAATTCATGTCCAAATGTCGACGTCGGAGCTTCATCAACCAACCATTTCATGAATGGGGGTTGGTTTTGGGCCCAGAAGTGGTCGGATTCCCCAATAAGCTGGGGTTGAACTTTTGTGGGGTCAACCTTACCTCTAGAAACCATCCCCTTTTTTTGGTTTCCTTTAAGGGAATGTCCAGGTTCATCCCATTTCTCATTCCCTGCCTATCGCCGCTTCCTTCGCGTTTTTTTTTTTTTTTTTTTTTTTTTTTTATCGAAGGACCTGAGCCTCAGAACGAAAACTCGGGTAGATGAAGGCTAGGGATCTGGAGGTAATCTTCCAGGACCCCCTGAGGTTCCATGATGGGAGGGTACTTTTTTGGGTTGGACCATGGAACATGGTGGTAGTGTCTGTCTTGCCCAAAGCGAATCGACCGGATCTTACCGTTTGGTTTTTCCAATGTCCTGGGTCCTTTGGGCAGAGGTCACTCCCTGAGTTGGACTTTGCACTTTTTGGGGTGGGCCATTTTTGTGGTAAATAAAACAAGTCGCTGGACGGTTTTATATGGCCAATCCACTCGTTCGGAATTGAGTGACCAAGTGGCAACCAACCCACGTGTTGATCCGCAAGCTAGAGGTCTCATCGGCTCTGGGAACTAACACGGAAATGACCTTACCGTTCTTTACGGCTTTTTGGTTGGCTCCTTGGACTGCAAAACTTTTTAGTTGAAACCGGTCGGATTTTCCACTTTGGACCCACAACAAGTGAACAGCCTTTTTGCAGAGGGGTAAAAAATAGCCACCCAGCGTTGAAGCCTTGGAGTTTTGTTTTCATTTTTTGTAGCAGGAGCTCGCTTCGCATGCCTTGGGTTTTGATTGGCAGCTTGGCTTTGGGGAGATTCTTTGAGCCTTCGCGCCTGGCAAGCTTTGCCATAGCTCCAAGCTCATGCTTCAATCCCATCTATCCATGAGTTTATCTACCTATCTACCTATCTATCTGCCTATCTATTTATCTACCTATCTACCTACTTATCTACCTATGTATTTATCCATCTATCGATCAATCTGTCTATCTATCTATCGATCTTTCTTGCCTACATGGATTATCTGGGAATGTTGGTTGATGTTGCTTTTTTGCAGGGTAAATCAAATGCAACAGTCTTCTACAGGTGCCGCAACTATGGTTTGGTTTTGTCATCTTGAGGCTGCTGATTTGAATTTGAATGCCCGCAGAGTTGGTAGTTGTGACACTGGGAACCCCGGATTTATAAACACTGGTTGATTAATAGGGGGGGCGTCTGTGGTTTAGCCGGGATTCGTCACTTTTTGAGGGATACACCCCCCTATTGGTAGGATGGCTTTACTAATCTGGGGTGAACATTATTCCGCTGGATCCAATCAAACAAGAGCCATGCCCAAAAAGGAATGGGGGATCCTTTTTGTTTTGCTTTGTTCGGTACCCGCCTGTTTGTCGACCTCCAAGTTTTCCTCCCAAAAGCCAGGCCTGCTCTCAAACTAGGAATCGAATCCCCTCAACATGGCATTGGTTTTGGCTTCCTCGTTTGGGTCAAACAGCGGAAAGTCTGCTACCCCTTAGTTGGTGGTTTGGATTGGTGGTTTGGATGTGGATTTGGGGTGTCCCAGCCCAAGGAAATGTCTTTGAGACTTCCTTCATCCCCCAACTGTTTTCATTTCCCTCTCCCCCAAAAGGAATTCCTTTGAGACTTCCTTCCACCCACTCAAAAGCATCAAATCCAAAATCCCCCTTCGGTCATTCACCCATCCTCCCAAAACTGCTCCGGAAAAAATCCCATTTCTCCAAAGGCCCGGACGACCAAACCACCGCTTCGGGGGAGCCTCAAGCCACCGATCCCAGCTGAGGCGGAGCTGAACCAGAAGTGCGGCAGCTCCTCGAACCAACGAAATTTCAAAAGCCCGAGCGACGGAAAGGAAAAAACAAAACCCGGGCCCCATGGCGGGTCTGACTTTAGCTGAGCCACTTGCTCAAACCCGGGGGTTGATGAAGGTTAAGGGACGATCCCCTTGCCATACATAGCTGCGGATATCCGCCTTCTGAATCCTGTACCTGGTTCTGGGTAGACCATTTTAGTGCGAGGTTTTTATTGCGACTCAGCTTTACTTGATCGCCATTGGGCAACGGATCTTTAGACTTTAACTTCTTTGGTCGAAATCAGGGGATTTTCCAAGCCCACAGAAGGTTGAAAGCTTTTTGCAGAGGGGTCTCGCCAGCAACCAAGTATTTGTGTGTGGCTGTGTGTTTATTTTGGCAGTTCGGGGGAGCGGGGGGGGGGGGGGGGGAAAAAACGAAATGGCGGAGAGAATTCGGCGGGTAGTAATGTTCAACCACTTGAGTTCGGTGGTTCCCACATGAAAATGTTCGAAGCCATGTAAGCGCCATGTAATACCTTAAACCCATTTTTAGTCGCATAGGAGGATAGATAGTGTGCGCAGCTGTTTAGCCCCTTAGATTATAATCCTCCAGTTGCTTAAGAGTATGTTTTGTTTCCCCTGTGATTGTGGGAATGCATCACTTATTGTGTTTTTGCCCCGGGGACTTTTGCAAATGTAAGAAATGTTTCCTTCGGCCCGACCGCTGCTTCTGAATGTTTTCGGGGTGCTGTTGAAGGGACCAGCTACCGATGGGGCTACCTTCAAAAGTCCGGCTCCGAAACAAACTAGGAGTGCCAACCTATGTGTTGGGGGGGATCTTTCGAAGTGTTTGAACCGCCGTTTTGCTTCCCCTCCGAGTGACTGTCAAGGGTCTTTGGGTGCATGTTGAAAACAATCCCCAACTCTGTAATGCAGCAGTTGATTCCCATGCCTACTCTGTATCACAGTAGGGAGGGATTCCCATGTCACGGAAGTGGCAACCTTTAATGCAAGAGCCTGGGTACCAAGATTTCCGAGAGCTCAGTAATCGGCTCGTGGGGGGGAGGGGGACCTTTCAGAGCTCGAGGATTTTCTTTTCTGCGGCCCAGAGTTTGAGTGAGGGTTTCAGGCAAACATCAGCAAGGAGTAGGGGGGATACCTGAAAGCTGTCCAGATACATGGAACGGGACTTTGATGAGAGCTCACCTTGGGGCAGAACACCCGTGACGGCCCCCGCTGCCGGTGTTGAGGTGATTTCCGTTCGACTTCTAGTTTGGATTGGTGGTCTGGATTCGCATCTTGCCGGCTCAAAATGAAGGAGCTAGGGCCAACCGCAGGTTTTCCTCTTTGGTTCCATTACCGAGGGGCCATTGTGGGAAACATTTCTTTGAGCCACAGCCAAACGAAAAACTACCACCTCCAGGCTCCAAACCTGGAGGGATCCCGTAGATCTCTCGGCCAAAAGTTGGTTTGAAGAACCGCTCCGCCGGCAGACCGAGCTTCAGAAATCCGCCTGCTTTCCCCCCGGAAACCTAACAAAAATCGACGACTTGCACGGCTGCTCTGGACTTTTGACTTGCTTCGCATCGGAGTGGGGAACCCGAAGCAAGAGGCTTCATGCCACGGGGATTGCATCAACCCCGTTTGGCTTGTCTCAAGCCAGATGGGGGCCTAGCAGGCTGCTGTCCGGTTTCAAAACCAACCCCAAAAAGTTACCCTCCTGTCCAGTAACATGGTACCTGACTAAGGGGTCCTGGAAGATGATGTTCCTTCAAAAGGGACCCTTAGGTGGGTTCCGGTACCCCTCCGAAAAATCACCCCGCCCATGTCGGCCCCAAATTTCCCCTCAACCGTCGCACTTTCCTTCGCTTGAGGTGGCCTGTGGGAGCACAACAGCCTCGAGAGGCGCGCGGGTTTCGGGTTCCGGGTTCCGGGTTTCGGGCGCGGGTCCGCTGGCGCGCGGGTTTTGGGAGATTAAGGAAGTCCTGTGTCATCCCTTGGGTTGTGAAAGGACTTGACGCCCTTGGTTCTAGTGCTACCTTCCATTTCCATTCCTGCCAGGGATCCTTCTTTCTGGAAACCTCCAAAAACCGAGGGAAACGGTCGGTTCTTGAAAACAGCGATGGTTGAAAAGAATAGGGAATCAACCCTTAGATTGGCTGTTTCTTTCTGATTGGGGATTGGGCAATCCGTCTTGAAAGACCCTCAGGATTTCGAAGGAAAGGGTTTGGAAGATGCTTGTGATTCCCCACTAAACCCAGGGATACCGGGACCCCTGTTAATATACTGAGGTTGATGAGCATTTGGGGGCAACATTCATACGGATTTTTTTCGAAGGGGTTCCCGGGAGCCCTTCATTGAGGGTCTGTGGGTGCTTCGAGGTACATTTTTCTATGCGTACCTACCCAACAAAAACCCATTGGCCTGGGAGCTTTGACATGTTCTCGCTTTTTTTTGTCTCTCTCTGTGTGTGTGTCTATTTGTGTGCGTGTGCGTGTGCGTGTGCGTGTGCGTGTGCGTGTGCGTGTGCGTGTGCGTGTGCGTGTGCGTGTGCGTGTGCGTGTGCGTGTGCGTGTGCGTGTGCGTGTGCGTGTGCGTGTGCGTGTGCGTGTGCGTGTGCGTGTGCGTGTGCGTGTGCGTGTGCGCGTGTGCGTGTGTCTGTGTCTGTGTCTGTGTGTGTGTGTGTGTGTGTGTGTGTCTCTCTCTCTCTCTCTGTGTGTGGGTTTATGTGTGTGTGAGTGTGTGTGTGTGTGTGTGTGTGTGTGTCTATCTGTGCGTGTGTGCGTGTGCGTGTGCGTGTGCGTGTGCGTGTGCGTGTGCGTGTGCGTGTGCGTGTGCGTGTGCGTGTGCGTGTGCGTGTGCGTGTGTCTGTGTCTGTGTCTGTGTCTGTGTCTGTGTCTGTGTCTGTGTCTGTGTCTGTGTGTGTGTGTGTGTGTGTGTGTGTGTGTGTGTGTGTGTGTGTGTGTGTGTATTTGTGCGTGTGTGCGTGCGTGCGTGCGTGCGTGCGTGCGTGCGTGCGTGCGTGCGTGCGTGCGTGCGTGCGTGCGTGCGTGCGTGCGTGCGTGCGTGCGTGCGTGCGTGTGTGTGTGTGTGTCTTTGTGTGTGTGTGTGCCTGTGTGCGTGTGTGTCTTTCTGTGCGTGTGTGTCTTTCTGTGCGTGTGTGTGTGTCTCTCTGCGTGTGTGTCTGTGTTGTGTGTGTGTGTGTCTCTCTCTCTCTCTCTCTCTTTCTCTCTGTGTCTCTGCGCGTGTGTCTGTGTTGTGTGCGTCTTTGTGTGTGTTTGTTGGTGCCCTTTTGGAGTTGCTTAGGGAAGTGAATGAGAACCCCCCGGTGGTGGTTTTCAGCCGTGGCTGAAGACCGGCTATCGCCCAACCCGGTTTTGGACCCTGCAACTTCCCCTGGACTTCGCGTCGGCTGAGTTTCTTTGTTTAACCACAAAATACCTCCCAGTTCAGTGATGTCGAGACTGAAACCCTGCGATTGTGAATCCGGGCATATCCCTTGTTTTTGTTTTTTTTTCTCGCCCCCAACACATAGGTCTGTGACAATAGGAACTGGTTCCCCAAAATGAAGTTCTATTTTTCCTGTTCGATTTCCTCATAGACCCCCCCGCCCCCCGCCCCTTCAACATACAAGCCTCAATTACCCCCCGGCTAACGCACGTCTTCTGTCCTGGTGTCTTAAGATGTATCGGAGCCGTGGAAGAGGATACTTCTTGGTGCTCCTCAACAAGATCCTTCCCATGGATACGTTTCTACAAATGGCTGCCAATGGTACCATTTTGGGGTAGGTGCACCACCCATTTTAGAACCTATTTTAGTGGGGATTGGGATGTTCACTGGGGGATAGGTACGGGGTTTTGACCCATGTCCAAATGAAGGGAACCCCTGAAAGCACTGCTTCAACTTGTCGCCCTTGTAGGCACCGGCTCCGTGCCACGTTCCAGGAGCAGCTTCCCGTCGGAGTCGTCTACCCCGGCCACGGAGTCCAACGAGGTTCGACTCGATTGCCGAGCCGAGCCGGGGACCCGTTTCTTGAGCTTCTTCAAGTTAAGGTCCCCAGCCAAACACACCAGATGTCCCTGTTGTGGAGCAAGAAGGGCATACGGTCTGGGCAGAACGCTCAAGTGGCTGCCACGTCAGTATCATATTGGTCCGTGGAGTGGAACTGGAATAGACCTGAGGCTGGGGGCTGGTGAAGGGGGGGGCTGGAGTGAACTGAGCTGTGGGTGTGGAGAAACTGGGAAATTGGAGGTTTGGCGGTCGAATTGGTGTGGAGCTCTTCCCTCTGCTTCCATTTGCTGCACACTATATAAGACTGGGTGGTTTGGACACCATTGCTGAATTGGTGGTTTTGCTGGTTAAGTAGTTAACGGTTATCCATTAAAACCCTCTGAAATAATGCAAACCACCAAGTACTTGGGTCTTCGATTCGCCAAAATAATAAGTTGCAACGGTAACCGTTCGGTTATAACCCGCGCAAAGAACCGTGAATGCGGAGAACACAGGTGCCTCACCATTCGCTAACATGGACGAACATGCAAGTGACAATTCTATTGACCTTGTTGGGCTCTGGGAATGCTCGGAATGGCACGCATGGCCTGGTTCGATGGGAATTGGACCCCCAAAGCGAATCATCCAACTGGTGGGGACAGCTTGGGACAGTCGGTTCATTCCGAAACCTGCTCTGGGTCATTCCCTATCGAACCAGATCAAGTTTTTGGGTCAACCCTTCAGAAGGCGACAAGTCGCAAGCTTGGGTGAACCGTGATTGGTGGTGGTTTTTTGTATATTTAGTATCCTCCATCTTGAGATCTTTTTACACAAATTCCAACACAGTAGAGAATCTCACCCAGGTCTTTCATCTTGAAATATGATACTTAAGCTTTCCGGTTCTTCTCAGTTCGGTTCAGGAAGGAGCTGGGCAGTTGATCCGCACTGGGAAGCAGCAGTTGGATGGTTCACTTCGGGGTGCGAACTCATTTCAACTCGGAGTCAGCAAGTAAGTGGTTGGTAAACAGAGTTCTCACTTGCATTTGTTGGTGCCCCCCCCCTGTGAAAGTCGGGGTGTTCAAATCTCGGGGTTTCTTGGCACAATAAACCTCGCACCTAAAATTCCCAAAAGCGCCGAATGCTTCATTTGGCTCACTGAGCAACCAGCCTTTTGTGTTCGATTTTCCTCCTTTGTTCCATTTGCCCCCTGTCCCTCCAGGAGCCGTTGGACGTTTAAAGTTTAAAGGGGTCCTGGTTTGGACGATTTTCCTTTAAAAGGGGGCAATTTCCCTGTTCCATGTTAATGGACAGCAGGGTAGTCAAGGTTCCGAAAGATTCACCTTGTTTTTAATTTCCAGGCCCAAAGGGGGCCGGGGCAAGTGGCTCCATTGGCGTGTTCTCAGGCATCCCATTAACATAGGTTTCCATCAGCCAACCAAAGGGTCCACTTTCTGTGGCTGAGCAACTGACGTGTGTCAAAAGAAAGTGGGATGCGGAGCCCTCAAAAGGTGGGTTTCGTTCTTGTTTCCCTTCACGCCAGGCATTAACCAAGCAAGCAACCGAGCAGTCTACCAGCCACCCAGCCAGCCACCCACCCAACCATCCAACGAACCAACCAACGAACCAATCAACCGATCGACCGACCAACCAGCCAACTAACCAACCAGCCAACCAACCAACCAACCAACCAACCAACCAACCAACCAACCAACCAACCAACCAACTAACCAACTAATCCACCAACCAGACCTTTGAAAAACAGACCTTTTGCGACAAAAAGCAACCCCAAGCATCCCTGAGTCGATGGCCCAATCAAATGGTTGAGGTTTCTGGCTGTGGGTGTGTGAGCCCAAACAACGTTTACGCCACTGCATTGGGGTTGATCAAAAGGTGCGTGATACATAGCGTCACTACTAGGGGAAACCATAAGCATTCTTTGACTAGAACACCACATGCGAAAAAGTTACACTTGGGTCATTTTGGGGCCGAAATGCATTCACGCTCTATGCATCCACACAAATTCTGGCATTCGCGCATCCACGGATTTGAGGATCCGCGCATCCATGCATTCCTGCATGCATCCAGGCATCCACGACGGGATCGACGGAACCCACGACGGAAGCCACGACGGACTCCCACACAGGAAGGGCGGGGGTCAGTGGGGGGCAAGGGCGGGCACCCTCAACTCATTTGGCTGTGGATGTCAAAGCATTTTGGGGTAGGTGCACCACCCATTTTAGTCTATTTTAGTGGGGATTGGGATGTTTAGTGGGGGTACGGGATTTTGACCCATGCCCAAATATCATTTGTTCCAGCTGCTTTAAAGGATCCAAATTCTTGTAAAGCAGGCGGAGTTTCGGGAGGTGCATCCTTCTACCAGAACCCTGCTTGCCTGGGCTCAGAAAGTCTTCTTCCAATGGATAGCGCATGGCTGTCTTCCAAGCTTTCGCATCGTCCACTTCAGCAAAAAAATGTTGGAAGGAGGGTCTTCTGACTGTTAAATGTCAACTAAGGAGTTTTCCCGGTATTCTACCTGTCAGGGGACTGGCTTTAGACTTTCTAAAGCGAGTTTCTGTGAGATTGTGTCAGTCGAAGCTCCCAACGCATCTTGCCCTTTGCAATACCTGCGCCCTTTTTCAGGCTTTCTGTTTCAGCTTGAGTCATGGGATTCCTCAGGCAAAAAGCTCCCCTTCAAATTGACATGGAAACCCAACACGGATCCTTTTTTTTTGCATCGGTTCATGTGTGTGTGTGTGTGTGTTCTGTTCATTGGTTTGTCTGTTTCCCTTTGTTCATTTTCGTCGGAGCGGCCCTCCTTTGTTGCAGGTGTGTGGATGTTTCCCTATCTACAAAAAGTACTAGGTACCCAACGGAAAGGCTGGCGCTTTCTTTTTACGGACATCCACTGGTCTGAGACTTGTCCCGCGAAAAAAAGAAGCACCAGGACTCATCCAGGTGCGGCCGGTGGGTCTGCAGGGGAGGGATGGTGACTGGATCTGGGGAGCTCACCTGGGAGTTTGTGTCCAGCTCTCTTGCAGTTCTTGTTCCAGTCCCTGGTTGATCCTGCCAAATTGACATAACCTGGTTGAGAGTCAACTGCTGGTTCAGTCAATTCCTAGTGGGACACTAGGCCAAATTTCAGGGTTCGGAGTTCTTGTAGATTTTTTTGGCAGGTTGATTACAGCGTACTTGAACATGCAAGTAGAGAGTGCCAGATCTCATTTCGGGGGCTGTTTCTGAAGTCTACTGCTCCTCCAAAAAAAAGCGGGCCAGTCACAACGGTGCTCCCCACCGTGTTTGGGTCACTAGACGAGTTTTTTTGTTGGGTGATGTTTTTTGTTTTCGGGGACATAACTCGGGAGTCCTGCGAACAACCCGCAAAGAGGTTGCTTTCTGGTTGCCAGTCGAGGTTGCCGATTGTGATCCACTGGTTTCCCTGGCTTGACCTACCCGCTTGCCATGAGTTCTAGAGGAATAGTTTTCATTTTTTTGGGGTAAAATGGACCCGCAAGAAGGGGACGGGCTTTCTTGGGGTTGAACCCTCGCTCGGGCCCCAAGGACCCCAAAGTAGTTTCCAGTAAATTGATTGATAGGGAAGTATGCGTGTTTCTCAATGTGGCGGACCCCCCTTTTGGTTGGGATAGAAAGGGGCACCCTTGCCATTTTTCCGATTCCTAGCAACGCCCATAGGGCTCGAACCTAAAGGCCGGATCGATCCATCCCAGACACTCAGCGGTGCTTTTCTCGAACCTATGTTTGGCGGGGCTTTCCTTCAAACTCAACTAGTTACCAGGTCCATTTTTCTCATGGAAAGCCGCCCCCTAGAGCACAAAAGAAGCCTGAGGGAGTGGTGATATGGGGGTTTCGTGAGCGCGGAAGGAGGTTCGGACGACTTGTGTGGGATGCTTCCACCAAAACAATGAGCGACGAGGGATGACTGGAGACCTCTTTGGCGAGGAGCTAGCTGTGAGTCTGTCCTTTTGGGTCAGACCCTCGGGTTCCAACGAAAACCGGTTTGCAGCTTGCAGAAACGGATAATCAGGTAGCACCCTACCCATTTATTAGAACCCGGGCATTAGAACCTGAACTCGTGCAATCCGCAGTTGGCCGATCTGCGGGCAGACTCTTGGCTGCAAATGGTGTGTGCATGTGTGTGTTGTTTGCTGAGGGCACCCTTTTTGGCAGTTGGGGTTGGTTTAAAGGGAGGTTTAAAGGGACCCAAAAGGATCATCAGAACATTGGAGCCAGTTATTTCGACACTTACCCAAATAGCCGGCTAAAGGTTGCTTGCGCTTCTACCATTCGTGCAAGAAACCAGCTTCCGGATCAGAGTAAGGATCCCGAGCGAAAGCAAATACGAGGGGCAGGTACTTGGGGATCCCTGCTTGCATCCGAGTACGGCCAGTGGAATCGCTGGCCGCGATTTGAAATCGGGGTCGCCTTACGCAGGCTTTCAGTTGCGGTTTTCGCCGGTCGCCTTCGGTAACCAAGAGGTTTACAGTGTCCATTTCTTTTCGGAGTTGTGGGACTCACTTAAGTTCCCACAAGCACCGAGCTCACTGATCGTCCCATGCTCATTTTGGGAAGGGCATATTTTGACCCAGCCCCACGTTGCTCTAGCCGCTGCCGGGCCAACTTTGCTTTCTGCTTGCTTCCCAGACTGCTTTGACTTGCCGTAGGTGGGGGGTTTTTGTAAAGTCCCTTTTTGGGTGTTGTGGGGGACTCTTTTTTCGCTGTTTTCCTTGTGGTTTCCTGGAAGCTAACCTCAGAAGGGTACAACAATTCTATTCCAAACAGGAAACATACACACATTGCTATGTCGCAAATTTGGGGGAATGTTACCCACACAACAATTGGAGTGTGCTGTTTGAGCTGCTTCTGAGCGCGACTTTGACTCCGATGACCCGTTTGCGCCCGAAAGTTCGGGCGCCCATGGTGTCATGGTGCTTCGCAAGCTGAGCAATCTACTTGTTTGTTGCCATTAGATGTTATGAGGTCTGTCTTTGTTGCATGTCCGGTCTTGTTGGTGTTTGTCTTCTTTTTGTAGTCGTCGTTGTTGCAGTCCTCATCTTTTTTTGTTCGCCCCGTCGTTCCCGTTGTTTTCCGTTGTCGTCGCAGCCAACGCCGCAACACATCTGGATGACTTCGCACCAATCCGGGTGAACCACCAGCGATGTGACTTAGGATGGAAATTCGGGTTCTTACACATTTCGGACCAGTCTCTTATTCATCCCGAGGTTTTGTTGGAACCGGTGTTCTGTGTGTTTGACAAGCACATTAGCAATATTTTTGCATTATTGTTTTGTTGGATTTCCTCATTTTGGACTCTCCACCAAGCGAGTGAATGAGCAACTTGTGATTCCAAACAAGCAAATACCTCGATTCCATTGGGCACCCTTTGTTTTTGGCTTCACATCTGTCGGACTTACATTCTTGGGGCCTGGTGTTTTTTCTTTTTCTTTTTGGAATCCTGCCTGAGGCACGAAGGGTGGGAATCCCAAACAAACACCAGGGCGCGAGAACCCAAACTAGGAAACACTGGGGCCCTGAGAATGCGAATTCCAAGCATGGGAGTTCAACAAAAAACACCGGAGCGGGCTTTGTTGCAGGTTTTGCCGCTTTCGAATCCCGACGAGACATTTGGAAGATGGCCTGGCATCTGGCTGGCTATGGATGGAAGCCCTCCTTTGGTGGTCAGGTTTCCATGCTTTGTTTCTGCGCTTTCCGAGGTGAATGTTGCTGGAAGGTTGTCACCGAACGACTACAAGGGGCTGTATCATTGCTAGTCGTATACTCCTGCAATCACCCTGAGTAGAGTTGGTTTCGACGAACCTTTTTGCAGGGGACAGTCCAGTTGCCTTCTGCTTTGTCGTTTGTTGGCTTTGCCTTTGGTTCTCCTCATTCCGTCTCACGCAAAAAGTCACAGATCTGAGGGAAAGGGAGAAGTGTAGCCTGATCGTTTGACTCCTTGGCATTCGTCGATCTTTTTTCAAGGCCCGTGACCTAGGGCACATTGCAGCATAGGTGTTTGCCGACCTTGACGTGGTCTAGCTTGCTGTGACTTTGGGGTTTGTGGATGCTTTTCTCCCCCCTTCCCCCCTCCCCCTTCCCCCTTCCCCTTCCCCCCCCCCCCCCCCCTTCCCTCTTTCCTTCCGCTTCCCTCCACCCTGCCTTCTTTTGGGTTTTCCATCTTCGGACTGCCCCCCAAAGGGACGGATCCGATCCCGACTTCGAACTCCGCGTTCCGTTCTTCGAGGCGCGCGAGATCCGGCGTCACCGTGCGTGAGTTTTGCGGCCGGGCAGCCATGCGGCCGGGCCGCTTGGAGCAAACAACGATATTTTTGGGGCGCCCCAAAATGGCCGGAGTTCTTTTGGTTTTCCTTTGGTTGCTATCCAACAAAGCCTCATATGAAACTTGAGGCTGGGGATATTCTAGGCAGGGGAAAATGGGTTTGTACGCCTTCTTTAGCGACTATATAGTGCTCGTATAGCCGTTTTGTCCCTTGAGTGGTGGTTTGAGGGTAGTGGAAACGATTTGATTTCTGATCTGCGACTCCGCGACTCAGCGACTCGGTCCGAGGATCACGTTCGAAGCCTCGGACTCGTTTGCCGAGAGCCCGACGGTAGCTTTGACACCTCGATCGAGCTGAGTTGCGAAATCTCAGATCGCACCTATGCCTATGCGGAGAAAAGGCGGCCACCCAAGCGCGCAACCCCAACAGGGGGCCATGCCCCAAAGAGGATCCTTCTAAGGTTCGCCCCCCAAAAAAGAGAACCATATCTTTCGGCTGGCTGCATGTGATTGTGTAGGAGAATAACAGGCGGGGCTTATATTTTAGAGTAGACAAAATATGACACATAATCAGAAGATGCGGTTTTTGCCATTGGTGCGCCAAGTAACAAAGGTCATACTGTGGCTGGGAGTGTGGCTGGACCAAATCCGCTTCGCACCAGGGCATTGGTCACCATCCGTGTTTTTCATGGAAGCTCGGATTAGATGCATCCTATGAGGCTGTTGCCTTGGTGGTTTGGGTTGGTGCTTGCAGAGGGAAAACAAGTGATTCAGATGAGGCCTTGAGGGCTGGGAGGCTCCTTGTAAGTCGGCTCTGGCAGGGAGTCGCGTGCTCAAGAGGTATGAGTCAGGAGCGTTTTTAAAGAATGATTTGGGGCGTGTCTTTTATGGGGGGACACGCCTTTTGGTTGTTTTAAAAGGAGAAGAGGTTGCCAACCAAAGCCATTTTGGGAATTCTCTAATGTTGAGACAAACCCACTTGCTTCGCTGGGTCAGTATTGCCAGATTGTCACGGTTGCCATGAGTTTTTGGCTGCACTTGTTCTGGAGAAGATGGTGGGATACCCCCACCAACCATTGCCGACCTTTGATCTCATTTTCCGAGGCATGTTTTGAAAAGACGGGGGGTCCCTGCAAAAGAAGCAAGACCGAATGCCGACCCCGGATGCATTAACCCTGCGACTCAGTGGGCGGGTGAAACTCCTAATAGTAAAGTATCCCCTCTAAAACGGGACACCTGTATATGAACAAACCTGGCAGACATCCCGAGCTTTCCGGTTGGGGCCAGTTTTTGTTTTCATTCACATCCCTGACTGAAAGCCGACAACATGCCGTGTGGCCAAGAGCATCCAGATTGCCCAAGATCGTCTTGATGCCATGCAACAATGGGAATAGAAGCGGGACACAGAGCATGTGAAAAGCTGCTCGTTAGTTCAGGGCGATGGGATCTTTTTAGCAAATCGCTTTTGATGTAGTCTATTTTTTATTTATTTATTTATTATATTTGTGAGTTGGGAACGACTGTTCTTTGCTTGAATTCTCATACTTGACAAGGCCGCCCCATTCAGATCTCTCGCGGGAGGGATTCTAACCAAGCTTTTGGATCGAATGTGACCCACGGAGAAGGCCTCGGATATCCTATGGGCAAATGAGCTTGCGTCACAACGGGAAAGTCTTTGATCTCTTTTCTTTCCTTTTTATCATTTCTTTTTTTCAAGGTCGGTGAACACTTGTGATTTGCGTGGAATGATAAATGCGCCCCTTAAAACGTGCCCGACATCAGCCGCACCGGGCCCTGTGATTTCTTAAGGACTTGGCACATCTTCAGAGACGACATCCTATGAATCAGGGGGTGTGTCCCTCCAAGAGCGGTTTTGTTCTGCCCCACTCAACCCAAATCGCCCGACGAACTGGGCTTGGGGTCAAATTCTGGGGTCGAGATTCGCCGGAGCCCCAACAAATCCGGCCACTTGAGTCAGCATCTCCGGGACATGGTTGCAACCCTGGGCGGTCGAGTACCTTCCGTTTTGCTCCTTCGGGGCAACTGGGGTACCAACTGAACTCTGTTTGGTGAACCGTTTTCCATGGTGAGACAAAAGCGCGCCCCGGATGTTTTTTTTTCCCCCAACAAAATCCCAGGCCCCGGAGGTGGAATGGGGGGATGTCCATCTCCAGTGAACCAACCCCTGAACCCCGGAGCCGCTTGGGGTTATGGGGATCAGAACCGCCTCCCCTGGTTCAGCATGGTGACACTTGGGGATGGACCATGGGAATGGCGCGGCAAAAATCTTTCCGAACTTGGAGGGGATGGGCTCATGGCTCGAAAGATGGCGCGAACTGTTTTCTCCTGGGACAAGTAGGGCTCGTCTGTTGGTTGGGGGGGGGAGTGGGGGATTTTAGTGAGTCCTCCCATATTGCATCGCCCCAACAAAAACCTTCCATTTTCACCTGGGGCAAATTCCTTGCTGGCTGTTTCAGGTAAACAAGCCCATTTTTTCGTGGTTTTGTAAATCGATCAACGCGTCGCTGAGCGCAGAGCTGGGAGAGAATTGACTCGCTGGATATTCTATTCATTATAAGAAAAGTGCGAGAGTAGAGCTGGAAGGATTTGATCCTTCGACCTCCACCCTACGAAGACGGTAGGGCAGTGTGCTGCCACTGCGCCACAGCTCTGGCTGCTGAGTCTTTGCCAGCTGCATCTTTCACATCTTGCCGTGTTTGTCCCGAACGCTTGCCTTGACCTGCCGCATTGGGCTCTCAGCACCGGTTTTGGGGGATCATGGCGGAAGACGCCGAGAAGGAGAAAGATGGCCCGCTGCTGAGACATTGGTCCGGCCTCGGTTCTTGGGCGTGGCGGCCATTGGTTTTGAAGTCGGGAACCCTTTCTTGATGCGAACGCACCGCTTGTTGTGCTTTCCGATTTTTTGCAGGGTGAGTTTGGAAACTTCTTTTTCCCTGCCCTTTTTGGTTTTAGGAGGGGGCCAGGAGGCACCCCATCGTTTTGGGCTGCAATAGCTTCAATTTTCTGCAAAAGGTGAAAGCTATGGGGTCTCTGCCCAGATGAGCAGTGGGCTGGTTTGGCGCAGCTTTCAGGGTAAAGTTCCGAAGGGTTCGGGCTGTTGGGGATACCACCCGTTTTGTTTTTTGGACTCCCAAAATGGCACCAAAACTTTTTTTGGGGGTTGCAATAACAGGCCCCACGTTCAGCCAGGAGCCATGCCTCCTTCCAATAGCCAAAGGAGCAACGTGCTTTTCAGGCCCATCCAAGCAAAACCTGCAACTTGCAACCATTGCAATGCAAGGCTCACATGGGTATGGCTCACAATTACGGGGCTAGGGCAAACCGCAGGTTGTTAGTCTTTGGTTCCATTTACCTTGTGGTTTGCCACTTGGGGTTTTCCAGTGTTTTTTTTGAGCCACCCCCATATCAAAAAAGGGCAAGCAGAACGCTTGACATCAATCTGCAATTTTCACCAGAATTGCACAGCCACAGCCACAGGGTGGCCCCACATGGTACCACTTTTTTGAGCGAAAAGACATGGGCAGCTGTGGGTTTCCCTCAAACAAGCAGCTGCCCTCAAAAGAAAAAACAACGGCAGAGCGCATCAAGCATCAATCCGGCATTTAAAAAAAACAACAACATAGTTCCCCAAAACCTGAATCCCCAAGTTGGATCCCCAAAGCCTGAGACAAGTTGGATCCCTAAGTAACGGATCCTCAGCCCAGCCACCTGGCGCCCCCAGCGGCCCAGCGGAAATCGAGGCCCGGCCGTGGGAGATCTGAGCCTCGAGACCGCGGCAGTGCCAGGCGCTGCGGTGGAAGCGCCGTGCGGAGGAAAAGCAAAACAAAACAGGAACCCCTCCCCAGAAAAAGGGAAGAAACACGGATTTCCCCCCCCCCCCCCCAAAAAAAAAAAAAGAAGAAGCAAGAGCACGAACGGCGGAAGCACATAAGTACATGATCAGTAAATGGATGAGTAAACCAAACTAGATGGAACTTTGTGGTTTGGTTTGATTTTCGGCGTTTCCCTTGAACAAACAAGCAACTTGAGCTCAGGAGGTTTGGTTTGGTTCGTTTTGCTTCTTTCTTTCTTTTTGCGTGTCGAACCCCATTGCTTGAGGCGGTCCAACAGATGCCTTTGGTGGTTTGCATCCTTTTTGGTTAAATAAAATGTATTATTATCTTTTTTGGTGGGGGGTCATGGATCAGAGATCAGGGATGGAATCCCGCCCTGTGAGCTTTTTTGTGGAAACCCCCGTTTCTGACCATAGGGCCATATTTTCAGAGTTTTGAGTATGGCATTGGTTCTGGCCGCATCCCTCTCAAACCATAGCAACTGATCCCTTTCATTCCAAAAAGTTTGAGGTTGGGCTTTGGTGAACCGAGGCTTTTGGTGACCCAACCTCCGGTCAATGCGCACAAGGGGGCTTTGTGAGGGAGTCCCCTTTTGATTTGTTTGATTCTTTATGGGGGAATCAGAAAGTCCCTTCGTTTTGACGTGTGTGGACGGTAGAATGCTCTGTCTTTGGGAAGGGAGTCATAGGTGTCCTTTTTGGTTGTTTTGCTAGACAAATAGACGGCCCTGGTTTACCTGGTGGTTTAATCATCTACCAGGGCCATCTACTTCCCCTAAAAGGACACCTATGAAGGGAGTGGTTTCCAAGCAAATGGGGGTCAAAGGTTTGCAGTGGGATGTAGCAGTTCAAGGTTGACTCCATACTGTGGGTGGACGAAGTCCTGCACCTAAGAAACCATGGTTGAAACCATTGTTTGTTGGTATTCACAGGGGAATCGACTCATTCCAGGGTTTCTGACCGGTGGTGCGAATGCTGGATTTCGCCACCATCCACAGAATCCAACCATGTCCCGCCTGTCGTTTTTTTGCATTTTTGTGTTTTTTTCCGGCCGCAAAAGTCCAGGCCCCCGGCCAGACAGCTCGTTTGTGTTTTGAGCTTTTCAGAAGCGACCGACGGACGGCAGGAATTTGGTTGGGGATCGACAGGTGAGGCGGATAACCTCCTGGATAAGATCCTGAAGCCTGGCCCTCAGTGAGGAAAATGGTCTCGATTGATTTGGGTGGCTCGTCTTTTTGAGGATTTGTTTGTCCTTTTGGTGGTTTTAAGACTGAGCCTCAAACAAAGACACACATACACCTGTGTTCGTTTACTCCCTCCATTCAGGTTACCCCGATTTGATGGTTTGGATTGGTGGTTTGGATTTGGAGTTGAACTCCTGGTTCTGGTTGAGGGTAAATGGGAAACCACCCTTAACCTCCAAATGATATTGTCTTTTCCAGGATTTGGACCACCCTGGTCTCCTTTTCTTTCCTTTTTTTTTTTTTTCCGGGGGGGGAAGGCAACGGTTGTCCTGTTGGTTTTCCTTTAAAACCTACCAAACAG